CAGATGGACTTTTCAAAATAAATGTGAAATAAGAACAGGAACATTTGGAAACAGTTAAAGTCATTTGTAAGTGAGACCGTATATACTATTGTTTCACCTTAAGTGTGTGTGTGTGTGTGTTTTTTTACGCCGCTTTTAGCAATATTCCAGCAACATCACGGCGGGGGACACCAGAAATGGGCTTCACACATTGTACCCATGTGGGGATTCGAACCCAGGTCTTCGGCGTGACGAGCCAACGCTTTAACCATTAGGTTACCCCACCGCCCCTTGACCTTAAGTGAATACCAACATGAGCATAATTACATCATCAGCTTGTTCATTGTCCAATAACTAATTGTAATTATCAATATACAGGAACTGCAATTATCCAACTGCTTGAAGCAAACATCATTACAAAGTTATTGGTTATATACACCATGGTTGCTGGAATGTTATTGTAAGTATTCTCAAGTCATAATGCATAATTATTTAGATTGAAGTCATGTTCATCGCGTTGACACTTAATGGAATTGTTACTTATTCATTCAATTGCAAAGTACGAGAGAACAATGTAAACATTCTAACGTGGAAGATTGAAGGTTTGAGGAAATACCACAGTACTATATCAACTCTTAAAGAATTATTAAATAGTTATGACTTTATTGGGTTCAGTGAAACCTTTGTCTCTCTGATCATGAGTTCAGTGCTTTTCTAACAGGCTACCATGTTTTTAATAGTGTATATCAAAACATTCACAACTATGGATGTTATAGTGGAGGTGTGACTGTGTTTGTACAGATTTTTATACGAAATAATGGTGTTGTTGAGCAATGTGTCAGAACATCTTTACAACTATGTTTTGATCTTTCATGCAGCATAATTTCAGAGGAATGGACAGATAATTATACTATTTCCATACATATCTCCACAGAAGTCACCAATCTATGAAGGCAGTGACAATGACGGTATCTCCACACTGGAGGATTACTGTAACAGAGTAAAATCAGATTATCCAAATAAACATATCTTCCTAGGCGGTGATATGAACGTCAGAATGAAGTATTTTCAAGAATATATTCCTGATGACACTGTGGAATGTGTGTATAATGCAGAGGACTACCCCAGTGATGTGTTTGCCACTGCAAGGAACTCAAGGGATAATGAACAGCATAATAACTGTGGTATTAAATTAGCTTCACTCACATTTGGAGTGCATACATTGAACGGCATATCATGTTATGTCCGATGTGGAAACTTTACATGTGCGACACATGATGGTGCAAGTGTTTTAGGTTACAGTGGTGGCGCGTGGTCCTGTGCTCAAAGCTCAGGTCACAAATCGGTGAAGTTAAGCAGCGTCGAGCTCGGAGAGTCCTTGGATGGGTGACCGTGGCAGCTTGACTCCTGAGAGTTTCTAGGACTTGAGTCCTGCCCAACAACGAAGCACATGTGACACATGTGGTCTCACCTTAGGCAAGTGAGTTTGTTCAAAATTGTCTCTGTTCACCCAGCAGGAAAATGGCTACCCGGTGGAAATAAGTCATATGACTATAACCTTCTAGCGTCTAACAAGCAGCCTGGGTTATCCGGGGTAATAATGTGCTGTGCCTTGATTGTTAGCGCTATGAGCATACCTAGTGTGGAGTTTGGCGCTATATAAATGGACTAATTATTATTATTATTATGTTTTACAGATTAAAAATTGTATGCAGCAGAGAGGGTTCGGGTGATCCTGGCACAGTCAGGCTGGTAAGGCTCATCATCAGCTCAGGGCCCTTGCCCCCCTCTACACGCAGCCCCGACAGCGAATGGGACTTCTCCCAGGAAACGCTGCCTAGTCGAACCCACCAAGAACTTTCCGGAGAATATGAAGGCTCCCCAACACTGCAGCCTTCTGCATTACCCAGAGTGTCAGAAGGGCTGTACTCCCGGTGGAGAACCCAGGCACTCTCCTGATCTGCGCCAAGAGATCAGGAGGTACCAAACCAAGGGCACCGAGAACAATGGGGAGCCTGACGACAGTGTACTTGGGATGCAAGCGAGACATTTCAAAGGCGAGGTCCGCATATTTATCATGCTTTTCCTTAATCTTGCCAATCACATTGGTGTCAAAAGGGACAGAAAATTCAATGATATAAATAAATTCATTGGCTTTATCAAAAAGGACAAGATCAGGTTTGTTAGCTGGAATTCTTCTGAGGCTGTATATGGGCCTATTCCACAGAAGTTTGAAAGCATCATTTTCCATGACGCCCTGGACATGTTCAGGGTCGTACCATGGATGGACCTCGGAGTCAAAGCCACAGGCATGTCGGAGACGGTAGTAAAAGCAACGAGCCATGCCATCATGTCGTTTAAGATATGCTGTTTGTGCCAAGGAAGGGCATCCACTGACAAGGTGTTGGACAGTCTCTGTAAATTCATTGCAAAGTCGACATTTCATGTTAATATTCTCTTTAAGAATCACATTTAGGCGATTACGAGTGGGAAGTGACTGGTCCTGAGCAGCAAAAAAGGAAGCCCTCAGTTTCACATTTAAGACCAGCCGACTTCATCCAGGCGAAGGAGTCGGTGGGATGGCTATTCTGTTCAACACACTGCATGTACACACGATGCAATGGCTTCTCAGAAAGCTTCTCCACAAAAGACCGACTCTGGGCAGACTTGGTAAAGGACTTCACCTGGTTTACTCCCATCGCTGTACCGTCCAGCAGTACATTGCCATCAGCAAAGTCAACCTCAAATTTCAGATTCTGTCCAACAACCTTGGCACGCTTAAAATAACTGTGGAATTCCTTGCTTTCATCATGAGTCTTCACATGCATCACCAGAGGATCATCCGATAAATAAATATGTGCAAAAGTACACAATAAAATTCTGTCATGAAGAGCCTCCACATTAATCAAGCCCCGACCTCCAGAATTGATTGGCATGTATAAACGATTAAGAGAGGAACGAGGGTGGTGGGCTCTGTTATCAGACATGATTCTTCTGGTCAGACGGTCAAGACTCTGGATGTCTTGTTTTGTCCAATCAACTACTCCAAAGGAATAGGAGAGGACTGGCACAGCAAAAGTATTGGTGGCTTTGACCTTGTTACGAGCATTTAGCTCTAAGCTCCAGATTTTCTTTAAACGAGATTTATACTCGGCCCGAAGTTTTTCTTGAATCTGGGCATTCTGGAGCTTGTCTCGAACTTGCATTCCAAGATAGGTGTAGGCCTGATCTTCCACAAGATGCTCAATAACTCCTCCCCCTTGTAACCTGACCGATCCATCATTAGTTACCTTGCCACGTTTCAAATGAAGAGTATTACATTTGTCGAGTCCAAATGTCATGCCAATATCATTAGAAAAGGACTCGACAAGGAGAACCTGCTCTTTATTATTATTATTATTATTATTATTATTATTATTATTATTATTATTATTATTATTATTATTATTATTATTATGTTGGCATGCGCATCACTCTTTCCTTATGTCACGATATGGCTGAAATATTGCCGATGTGACTTTAAATCTTAGCTCACTCACTCACTCACTTTTTCCTTATATTACCAGCTTTAGTATTGCCACACCTGACTTTCCATGTGACTTTCCATTATATTTTTCAACAGAAATTTCTTGTAACCATGTCGACAGCCATAAGCCATGTAACCATGGTAACAGCTGTAATGACCCTTATGATATTAAGGGAAATATCCATGGACTCAGTTTGTATGGTGAAAAGATTATGAAAACAAGTTGAATGTTTATTTGTTGAATGTGTCTGTAACTGAAAGAATTGGTGTGGTACACTACATCCCTTGCTTTGAAATCATTTGGATTATTCAGGTCCTTCCGAGTGTGTGATTAAGTTGAGTCGTCCAACGTCTGCTAAGAATTTGTCTAGAAACCACGAACAGGAAACTCACATCCCCACACAAACTGAAGGTGTGTGTGTCAAATTCGCTATAAGAAGCAACCATAACTCTTTAACATTGTACTCTTTAACAGTGTACTATTTAACATTCTTTAACATTGTACTAAGGTTACCTTAGTAACTTACGATCACCTTAGTTCTTTGTGAGAAACGAGGCCCAGGAAGAACTGTAAACAACATGACAGCAAATGAATGGACTACATATTTTGAAAAACTTCCCTGGTCTTAATACTTCACCTGAGAAGAGAGGAAATGTTATGAATTTGTTCTAACCTTTGTGAGTTCAGTTGATGAAAACTTGATTGACGCAAGGTGTGAAGTGGAGGGTTTAGATAGAGAGGTTTCCTATCAAGAGATTTTGGATGCTGTTTGAGAAATGAACAGTGTAAGGCCCCTGGTTTATAGTGGCATACTTATAGAATTCTATAAATACACTCCAGGAATATACAGTCGAGCACCGTTGTCTCGATATTCATTGGACAAAGAAAAAATATCGAGTTATCCGAACTTCGAGACATCTGACCAGGGCAAATCATCTCATATCGCTATGAAAGGAAACAATTCCGCAATTTAGAAACAACTCCGCAATTTAGAAACAACTCAACAATCACATGCTAGTCAATCACACACTGAAAGGGGGCCAGCACTTGTTTTATGACAAGAAGTGTTTGAGCTGTGTAGTCGCCAGTAGTGTACCACAGCACCCTGGCGGGATTTTCAAGATGGCGGCACATCCGGGCCAAGATGGCCATGACGTTCAAGATGGCGGCCCATCCGGTGGATCTCGTGGGATCCCGCGAGAGTAGACGCATGGCGATGGGCGGACAAGCGTCGGACGGGAAGGAGAGAGATGGAGGGAGGGAGAGGGGGAGGGAGAGTGGTGAGGACGATGGCGTTCAAGTGTGTGGTTCAAGCTTTTTTTTTGTAACCCAGCTTTCTTTCGAGCGAGATTGGTGGCCCTGAAAAGGGCCGTTGGCATTGGCTGGTGAGACATCATGGCATTTATTGTCGGGGTGGTGATGGTGGTCCACTGGAGGTGGTGCTGCTGGAATCGTCCATGGGTTCAACAAACTCCAAGACGCGTTGAAGAACAGAGTGCATGGTGTCTATACGGTCTTGAACGAGGATGGCCTTGTCATGGAGTAGAGCCACTTGTTTTGGCGGTTGAGCTGACTGGTTGACGGGAACTGCACGTTTCTGGGCCTTGTTGGTGCAGTTCATACTCTTATGGTCCTCTTTACCACAGTGACGGCAGGGATGTGGGCAGTCGTAACTGAGATGGCCTTCGTTTTTTCCACAGTTGTAGCAGGTGTTGTTATCATGCTTGTTGTTGCTATCCTTGGCCTTCTTTGGGCATATGTAATGGCGATGGCCTTGAGCACCACACTCGGTACAGGTCACCTTGGGACAGTGCAGATAACTGTGGTCATCTGTTTCGCACAGGTGGCAACGGAAAAAGGCGAAGGCGGGAGGCGTCTGCATGCTTCCAGTTTCAGTGAACAACTGATGGGGAGAGCTGGAAAACCTTGAGTTTTTTATAGCTCGAGTCGATGACGTCACTTTGGCGCGAGTCGCCTCACATTGACGCTTGACGTCTCATAAGTGGGCAGACTAGTGTGTCGTGACGGCATAGGATGTGATGTCATGGGCATACCCATGGGCATGCACATGGACAAAATTCATGGGCATACCCATGGGCATGCCCATGGAGAAAATCCTTTGGCATGCCCATGAGAAAAAAATTGTGATGCCATTCAACACCAAATGAGCTCGTGGTGCGCACTGTCTTTCTTAGGACGACCTATTGTGATGTCATAAGGTGACGTTGCCTATATAAACCAGGCTCAGCGTGGGTCTTGGCAGAATGTACGAAGCAGAGGAAGAAGAAGAAGAACTTGAAGAGGCGCCCGTGCCGTACTGGTTGGAGCCGACGTCCCTACTAACACGCAAGAACTTTCGGACCAACACTCATCGCTATAAGCTGAAGTTCAATCCAGCTTGGTTGCAGACCTCCCCGTCGTTCTCAGAGAGCAGTTTGATGCTGTCTTGCTAGACCTGAGAAACAATGTGAATGGCCAAGATGGTTATCGCGTGGGATTGGCCTTGAAACATCCAGCCCTGGATTCAGACATCCCAATCACATTTCAGCAGATGGTTGACCTCCAGGGGGAACACATCATGGCCAAATTGGAAAAAGTACAGCAAAGCAACCACGACTTGTATATCGATGAGACCGTGGATATATACTTACTGCATGTAGAAGATCCTGCTCTTTTAGGTCAGGGACACGGGCGGCCAAGGCACATTGTCGGCTTAAACACTTTTCTGGAAAAGAAACAATGCATCGTACAAATCAAGAATGATGATCAACTCTGCTTTGCCCGTGCCCTGGTCGTGGCCAGTCACCATGAACACAAAGCCGATCCTGTGACCAAGGAATGGACCAAGGAATGGAAACGACTTTGCAAAAGTCGCAGTCCAGTCCAACTGAAAGCTGCCAAGGGCTTATTTCGCCAACTCAAGATCTCAGAAGGACCTTGTACAGGCCATGCCACGTGGGAGCTGTTCAGTCAACGTTTGGCGCCCTACTACCAACTCAAAATCTACTCCCAAGATGTCATGAATCGGCTCCTGTACAAGAGTGAAGTGCCTCAACCCACCAAGATTCTTCACTTGTATCATCAGCAGCAGCATTACAATGTCATTACATCCATGCCAGCTTTTACAGGCTATACCTACTATTGTGAAACCTGTGATCAAAGATATGACCACACTGAGGAACATCGCTGCACCCGAGAATTTCAATGCCACTGGTGCCGAGGTCCTGGATTCTGTGGTGATGTGGACAATGGAGGGCTCTCCTGTTTCCAATGTGGCGGGTGGTTCCGAAACCCTTACTGTTTTCAACGGCATCTGACGGCCCTCCACCAAGCATCCCAGCACCTGTTCGACCATCCATACTTGTCATCGATGCCTGGACAAAGTCAACGTGAGAAAAATCCAGGCCATGGGCTACCACCAGTGCGGCACAAATCGTAACTGCAAGATCTGCAACGAACCCTTGGAACCCAACCACCAGTGCTACATGACTGTCATCAAACCGCCCAAACAAGATGAAGACGGTAAAAACAGGGATGAAGACAAAGAACGACAACAGCGTCAGTTCATCTTCTACGATTTTGAATGTACCAAAGATCAAGGTACTAATGGTCCCAAAAGTGTCCCTGGCGTAAGGAAGGAGAAGGGCCTAGCTGCAACAAAGTGTTTCGGGGATCTAAGACCTTGAAGGACATGGGCAACTGGCTGATGCGTCTGGCGGAAAAGAAACAAAATAAACAGAAACGTTAGGCACCACACCAGCCGTCAGGCAGCGCCTCAAAACAACCCCAACCATCACAAGAACCAGATGATGATGATGATGTAGAAGAACAAGAACAAACAGACGATGAAGACGATGAGGACATTTCCAGTACCATTGACGATGATGACGTTTTGGTCATTAAACACAACTACCGTGACTCTGATGGACATTTGCTCCAACAGTACTTCCATCAACATTGTGTGAAAGCACCCCAGATCATACTTCGATGGAATCGCATCTTGCAGATGAATGTGGGGCGTCTCGTCTCCAAAGATTCATTCAATTTCTTCACGATGGCTCTGAAGCAGTTTCCAAAAACGTTTGCCTTGATGGAACTCAAGAAAGGTTACTTCCCTCACTTCTTCAACACCGAAGCTCACCAAGGCTATGTGGGTCCTTATCCTCCCGTTTCTACCCACGACCCTGACGGCATGCTTTCTTGGCCTGGTATTATGCACACACGGCTGAAGGGGCTGTCTTTGTTCTGGATGAGGAATTGTTGAGCTACTGTCAGAGTGATGTGGACATTTTGCGTCGAGGCTGTGCTGCATTCTGCAACATGTTCATCGAACAAAACAACGTGGACCCTTTCTATGAAGCAGTGACTCTACCCATGGCTTGCATGCTCACCTTCCGAAAACTGTTTTTGGAACCCTGCCCCATCGCCATCATACCTCCTCAAGGTTATCGCCCCCAGTGCCACTACTGGTCTCCACTGGCTCAACTGGGTCATGCACCAACACCCCGACCGCCACATCCAACATGCCCGGAACGGCGGAGAAGTAGGCTTTGGCTGTGCTGATGGCAGTCACTACATGGTGGACGGCTATGACACTGAGACACGCACCATGTACGAATACTTGGGCTGTTTCTGGCACGGATGTATTCGCTGTTACAAGACGGGTCGATGTGAACCCCACAGTACTATGGGTACAGCAGCTTGGGAACGATACCCTCATATGATGTACCGACTGGCTGTGTTACGTCAACATCCCTACATCGACCAAGTGGTGACCCTGTGGGAATCCGATTTTCGGAAAGAATAGAAAGACAAAGCTGATCTGAGAGCATTCCTGACCACACTGCAAGGACCCCATGCCTACATGCCTGAACCTTTGGATCCCAGAGATGCCTTCTTTGGAGCACACACAAACGCCACCAAGTTGTACTATGAAGCCAAAGAAGATGAAGAAATCAAATATGTGGACGTTTGTTCGCTGTACCCTTACATGTGCAAGTATGGCACTTACCTCGTGTTGCATCCTGAGATCAAAGATCATCCTCCCGTGGCTGACTTGTTCGAGTTATGGCCTCATCCAGTGCCGAGTCTTGCCACCCACTGACCTCTATCATCCTGTTCTTCCTTACCGCATCAAGGGCAAGTTGTTATTTCCTCTGTGTCGTGCTTGTGCTGAAGCACAGTTGGCTGGTTTCTGCCCCCACGGTGATGAAGACCGGGCAAGGATTGGCACGTACGTCAGCAAGGAGCTTCAGTTTGATGTTCAAGAGTGTGGCTATCAAGTGCTTCACATCTTTGAGGCTTGGCACTTTGACACGCTCACCACCTACGACCTTGACACTCAAAAGGGAGGCCTGTTTGCCAAGTATGTGAACAATTTCTTCAAGATCAAGCAAGAGGCCAACGGATATCCAGGAGGCTGTTCAGACCCAGATGCCTACATCAGGGAGATTCAGCAAAAAGGAGTCACCTTGGATCCTGCTCACATCCGCAAAAACCCAGGACTACGTGCCCTGGCTAAAGCTTGACTGAACAACCACTGGGGCAAGTTTGATCAACACATCGGGTTTGACAAGACCGAATACATCAGTTCCCCTCAGAGGTACTTTGCCCTCCTCCCTGATGAACGCTGTGTGGTGAAGGACGTGCACATCGTTAACGAGGAACTTGTGTGTGTCACTTACGAACCTCAGCAAGAATTTCACGACACTCATCCAGCACACAATGTGGTCATTGCAGCCTCGGTGACAGCACAAACCCGTCTCAAAACTGTATTCCTATTTGAAACCCATGGATCGGCGAGTACTCTATTTTGATACAGACAGCATCATCTACATTCACCGTCCACTAAGCTACAATCCTCCACTGGGGGATACTTTGGTGGAGCTGACTGATGAACTGGGAGGGGGCAACAGCATTCAGACTTTTGTCTCGGCAGGACCCAAAAACTATGGCTACAAGCTATGTCATCCTCGACCTGGCGGCAGTGTGGGCACCAGCAAAGTCCGAGGACTTACTCTGAATCACAGGGTGAGCCAACATGTCCACTTTGACAACATAAAGAACCTCATCTGTCAGAGGGATCAAGCCAGCATCAGTGTCCCATACCCACACAAAATCATTCGCGGAGGGCAACGCGCTGCTGTCCAAAAACACCACCAAAGAGTATCGCATGGTTTTCACCAAACGGTGAGTTCAGTACGACCCACAAGGCGTCCCCGTGGAAACACTCCCCTATGGGTACAAAGACTGAACATAAATCGTAACGGGATGCACACCACAGTGACGTCATAGCTCGCACTGCTGTTGCTGCCTATAAAAACGCAGGATCAGTCGAATGGGTCATCAGTCGCACCAGCTGAGCCGTCGTAGATGGCATCTCCAGGCAACCTCCCTTCTTCCTTCTTCAACTTGGCTTCACAGGCAAAGAACCTAGCTGCTGACATTGCCAATCTCCACAACAACATGATGGCTCAAAACCAGTTGTACAAGACCAACTACATGGA